TATATATAATTCTGTATACTTTCACTAGGCAATGTAAATTCTCAGGATCACATATGCACCAGCCCCTGTATATAATATGTTTTTGACTGCCACTGCTAACTGGGTGGAAGCTTGGAGAGGTCCAGTCCTGGTGTTTCCAGGACACTCACAGCTGGGTTCCACCATCAGGATCATTTTACCTATTTATGTTACTTTGCTTATATTAACAGTGGATTTCAGTTACTATTTAAAATACCCCATCAGCTTTTATTTTCAGTACCTTGAATAACTTTATCTCAGCAAACTCTGTCACGCTTCTACTCGCTGTGCACAGCACAGGAGCTTGCGCAGCTCTTTGGAGCTCCACAGGGAACAATTTAGGACCTGCTGACACTGTTTTCCATGTAGTAATGTCATGCTGAGCAAGCCAGAATTTCAGGATGCATAATTTATCAACTGCTCATACTTATTCTGGATTGAATGGATTTTGCTTTTGTCCAGAACACACAAGCTGCTTCCAGAAAGCGATATGTGCAAACACTGTGAGCCTACCATGAATTACTGCCCTACCGACACAAACCAACTTGTGTCCATCAACAGTGGCAAACACCAACGTGGAGGTTTTAGGAAATGCCTTTGAAGCAGCACAGACCACAGCTTCCACATGGGAAACCAGTGCAGGCAACATGCCCAATGCTCCTTTCCTATTTAGCCTTTCTCCAGAGCAGCAGCTGAGTCCTGTATCACAGCATGCTTCTGGCTGCAAGTGTGGGGCAAGGACCAGAACATGGAGTGGTAGAAGGCAGAGATCAGGCAAAAGACACAAGCACGATAAAGACAACACAGAAACTGGCATTATCAGGAAGGGAGCAATCTGGTTTAATAATCCCCTTTTTTCAAATTTTGAGAGATGTTTGGAAACCCTTCTAACAGCACTGATGTTGCATGGCCTTTAGACCAGCTTGATGACAACCAGACTCAAGTGTGGATCTTCAAAACCAAATCATTGATCAACTGAAACAGAGCTGCTGCAGTGCAGCATGTGTTCCTTGTTATTTGCTGCTGTTTTTTTTCCCTGAGCATACTGCAGACATCAATGTGATAGTCTTCCAAGTCTTCCAAGTACTATTCAGACATCACTAATGAACCATTTACATCTACAGAAAATGATGTGCTCCTCTTTTCTCTAGTTGCAGCACAGACTATTTAAGCCTCTATTCATACACTTCCCCAGAGAGACACTGCAGTTACACTTGAGATTTCTAACAACCCATTAGACCACCACTGGGTCAGAAGCACAACCAAGTCATAAATTACAAAATCCATCAGCCCATCCAGGACTAACTGAGTGCTTTCTTTTTGTTCCAAGTGATTAAATTGGAGGTGGGAGGAAAAATATCACCCCCACTCAGGTTTTACTTGCTTGCACTGGAGCTAGAGCAGGCATCGAGCAGGCGCGCAGACTAAGCAGGTATCACTCCTCACGTGAAATCCAACGCCACTGGCAGGCATTTTAAAGCAGTAATAAACCCCTTCTCATTGCCCCATACATTTTCCAGTAAATGGCTTGTTCAAAACAACGCCAACCCCCAAAAAACAGAAGACCAAGAGCCCTTAACCAATGTGACACAGATTTCTCAAACAAGCACCAAGAAAGCTGACACTTGCATGCACAAAGCAACTCCCCACCTATGAACCACCAGTCTCGCAGAGATGGCAGCGACCGTTTCCTCTTCCCTGCCCCTGTGAGCAATTTCTCATACTCCTGCACCATGTCACCAGCTACAACCTCATCACTGTGTACAGCTGCTTTTCCTGTTCTGCTGCTATTGCCCGACGCACAATGCGTATCTCATGTGCCCACAACACTTAACAAAGCTCACTGCTAAGGGTGCTGGACGGTATTAAATTTTGCAGGGTACAAATTGCATCCGTTTGATGCAACATATGAGTTTTCTGTGTGTGCGTTGTGTTCCTCCCAGACTCTGAATCACACCTGTGACCCATCTTTCCTGGCGTATCGCTTCCCTTTCTGCATATGGATGCAGGAAATGAAAACCAGGGTTCTTGCAGCCCAGCTGTTGCAGACTGGGACTGGCATCAGCTGCCGTGAGATTCCATTTTCAGCCATTTCACCTACAGACATTGCCCAGTCACCACCAGCTTCACTCCTCTTACTCTCATTTGGCTCAAGAACTGCTTCTTTCATGACTTCCCCCCGGTCTCCCAACATCCTTCTGTGTCCCTGAGAAAAACACCAGAGCCAAGGACTACAGAGCATGAAATCCTGCCCTGCCACTTCCCTTCAGCAGGGCAAAGCACTGCTGCCTGGCACCAAGCTGCTGGAGCAGGAGTCCAGCCAATGCCATCAAACACCACCACAGGCTGACTCGGCCGTGATTTATGTCAGAAGCCCAGACCCTGCGCTGCCCTGTGTCCAAATGATCCCAATTTGCCTGGTACTTCTGTCAGTCTTTCATCTTGTCCTGAGGACAAGGCACGTAACCATCCCATGAGTCACATTTTCAGGCTGCTCTTCCTTACACGTATCAGCAAGATTTCTCTCTCCCCACAGTAATTTCCAACAAGTGATCATTACCCCCATCATCAAGACACTTAACCAGGCACTAAGAAAAGAAAATTTAAAAGTGCTTAAACACATAGGTAAATTTAAGCACACTGGTATTTCCTGAGATTCCAGGACCTAACAAAACTCATTAACCAGAGATACACAACAAAAAAAAATCTAGGTATCATAACTTTTTATTTAAGTTAGCTGAGGATGTGTATTTGGCTCAGGATTGTTTATCCTTGACTTTAAAAGAGACTGACTGCAAATAATATAAAAAAATAGAAAATGTAAAATTAATCAGTATTTTCAAAACTGTCACATTTTGAAAACACTTGTATAAATTCTGCAAACTTTGAATACCCTTAAAGGGGCATCATTTAGTTACCATATATAATGAACTTTGAAAATATACTTCACCCTAAATTTCAAACACAGACATATTCATGATGCATGTAACTTCAAGAGGGTCTCAAAATGATATGGTTAGAAAAATAGACATACTTTTGCTTCTGGAAAAGAACAGGTCATTTGAAACATCTGTTGAATAAAATTCGAAAAAAACCTCGCCACAGATTTTTTCACAGTCCAACACAAAATGCATGTGTATGTACAGCTTATGCAATCTGTCGTTTTCAAGAGATGTAGTCAAAGTTTTGCCAGTACAGAAAAACGTCCCCTGTTACTGCTCTCTGAACTGTTGGCTGCACCCATGTGCGATTGTAAAGCCAAGCCAAGACAGGAGAGCCATACAGTGGTACACAAACCAGGCATAAGAAAGGCGAGGGGAAAAGAAAATACAAAAGGACAAAGGAAAGCATCAAGGTAACACAGAGAGGAACGGTGACCAGCCGTAACAGACAGGAACTCTTCGGTAGCATGCAGCAATTTCTACAGGAAAAAACCCCCATACTCCAAGTATTAAAAGGACACTTTTGTGGTACTTGTCATGAATTTTACGAAGTAGTATTAAAGATTACTTTACTGTCTCTTTGAAATAGCCTGGGCTGAATTTGTCCCAGCAGATGTGGTTTGTTGCTGTGCTTCGGTTCATGGCAGTGTTAAACTTCAATTGCACACACACCGAGCAAACCAAACCAAAACCCCTACATCTTGAAAAGGAAAAGAGATGGGAAGAAAGTTTCAAAAACGTGTGCAATGCAGTACCTGAGTGCAATGCAGCAGCCAACATAACTATGGTTTGATTATTACTTGTTTAAATTAATTCTGATGCAAAGAATGATTCCAGAAGAGCAACACGGCACTCACAACAGTCACTGAAATTAAAGATATGGTGACACTTGGAGATCTACAATTCTTCACAGTGTCCTTTTAAGTGTCCATAGCCTAGCATCTTAGCTGCAAATGAAAAAGAGGCAAATCCTAATGAAACAACCCAAATCAAGGATGTTCTTACAATAGTTCACAGTAATGAAGAAACAGTCTATGGAACTAGTGAACAGAAAAAAGCATGAAGGATAATAGCAGCGTATGGTTTACAGTTTTCACTTTTCAGTTTATTAGTATTAGTGGTGCACTCGGCAATGGATAAAGCAAGGAATGAAATTCTGACAAAACTGGCAATTATCTACCACATGTCAACACTTAAGTATGGTCTTTGTGAACAGCTAACTCCTTTTTGAATTTTAATTGCAAAGAAGAGAATATTTACATATAATATATATGTATATAACCACCAAACCAAAATTAAGTCAAATCCTTATCAAGGAAATCGCATTTTGAAGAGAAGAAAACATAATACAATATTAAATAGTACATGTCCAAAGGTGTTGAAGGCATCACGACTTTCATGTTTTCTTCCTCCAGTCATTTCCCCTTGGATTTCAATAGACCAAATACTTCATTTCAGAGTAAATAAGTGGAAATATTATAGAGCAACTCCGGTAAAGAACAGCTCCACTACTGAAAAATGCTCGAGGCTTGGTGATCCAGGACTCTGACTTAAAGCAAAAATAAACAGCGTATAATGCCACAGCAAAGAAGTGGCCGATCAGTACCATTGGTTTAGGAGATAACCTGTAACAAAATTAAATAGACAAAACATGTCAGTAAACAGAACCAGAAGCACTGCCAAATTTTCATTTTACAAATACACATCTCCACTTAAGATTGCACACGGTCTTCTGATTTCAGCAGCTCTGGTCCTGTCATCTCAACTCAAAAATACCTCTCTTGGTTGTCCTGGAGCTGCTACACCCCCTGTATTCCCTTCTACAGTACAGCCAACACACACTGCTGCTCTCTCTTCATTTCCAGTAGTCTGTGGCTGCCTTTATCTGCCCCCAGGGGATTATTCTCAACAGGATCTATCAGTTGTAGCTCTCATTCCAAAAAGGGAGAAATATAAAAGAATATAAAAATATAGCCCATGTGGCCCATTCTCCCTGTGCAGAGCTGACTGACTGGGAGCAAAGCAGAGCCCCAGTGGCTCACAGTGCTGGACCCAGTTCACATCCACTATTACCTGCACACTGAACTTACACAGACAGCAATCCAACAGGACCCAAGACACATTCTCCACCAAGTCTGAAGTAATGGAAACAGGCTTTCTTCAGCTGATGCAAGGAATCTACAAAATGAATTTAAATGACTCAGCAAATATATTCAACACGTACGGCAACTTTTTCAGCATATGCAAGTTTTTCTTTGGTTTTCTTTTTTAATGCTAACTCCAGACTTGCCTTCACATTGCTAAAACTCAGTTAACATAACACTAGAACTAAACTAGGCAGAGAACACAAGCTAACTCATTAAAATCCTTTGATTTATATATTTTTAATATATAACAATATCCATATATATTAGGATGCTCTGCCTCAGTGGGGGAGAAGAATCAACACTTGCTCCGCTTTGTGTGCTCTCTGGTGAAGGAACTACCAGATAAGCCAGAAGGTCACACTGTGCCTTGGTGCTGGAAAACACTCTGGACCAGTTGGACCCAGATAGAGAGAAAAATGGAACACTGATGAAAAGGAGACAGTATTTCTATGAAAATAAAAGAATTTTGCTAAACTAGAAGGATCGCTGAACAAGGAGGTTTCGCTTAGCAACAAATGACTGCCAGTTATACGTCATCAGTCGCTTTATTCTAGAAAAGCCCTATCCCATTCTTGATGGGGTGGGATTCTTACACACTTTCCCCAGGAGGGGTGTTTGACCATTCCCCCCTCAAGTGGGGACACCTCTCAAATGCTGAGGCTCCGAGGCTGAGAGAAAGGGAACCACCCACAGTCATTGGACAGCGCAAGTAACATCAATCCCTATTTAATAATTAAGCTACCTTTAAAATATTACTTTAGTTATTGTACTAGATCTAGTAAATGCAAATTAATAAGCAGTTGCTATATTGTGTAGTATGTATTCAGATTTTTGTCCTATAGCCTAATCACATTATTATAACTTATAATAAAATTTTGCTTTGTTTGTACCTACAGACTAATCTGCCACCCTTAAACCCATACAGGACACATATACATATATAATACACACACATCCCCTCCTCAGACAAGTTGTAATTGGTCAGAAATTATCTTTAAAATATATTTACCATCTGTGGCAGCAAAGAGTTCATAAAGTGCCTGGGCGAGAATATTCACTACAAAAGCATGAGATTTTTTTCTTGACCAGTAAAACGTTCTTTTTGCCTGAAGAACAAATAAAAAAAGCCCATTTCTGTCAGTAAATACAAAAGAGCATTCAAAAGTTTCCCATAGAGGTGGTAAGAGTCATACTCGTAAAAAAGTAGAGTGGATTTAGTGATACACTAGATCAGTCCCAAGCTAGGTCATCAGGGAACTTTGGAAACTTGTCAAACCAGTTATCTAGGCTCCTTTTACACTAAATATAGGAAAAAAGCCCACTGTAGTTTCAGGGTGTGCATCATCTCATCCTATGGTAGGTGGCTGGGGGAGGTCAGAAACTTGAAGGATAACACTCACCTAGTTTTCTCTCTGTTAATTGAGAATAAGTAGAAAATAACTGCAATCTGAGGAGACTATCTGAGATTTAAGTATTTGCATTTGGTCAGATAAGTCCTGTGGTCTCCTTGCACTCAGGGTACCTCTAAGTGCTTCTCAATTTTCAAATACACTTTTTGAATCATTCATTTATAGTCTATGATTATTCTAGCTGTATTTAGCCAAGACAATAACCCAAACCCAATTAAAAGCAGCAAACAAATAAATAAGAATTGTTATTATCTACTCATAAGAATTTTGGGTACAAATCTCACTGAAAAAACAAACTCAGCATTGACACTGATGGTGCTGATTCCTAGGAAAGAAGGATGTCTTCTAACTTACTACAGTGAGATTAATGCAGCAGTCAAGAGGCAGTGGAGCATTGAGATGTGTCTTGAAAAACTTGGTCCACATGCTCATTATCCTCCAAGTACCACTCACACAAGTGCAATGGTCCAAACCTACCCCATTTAAGATCAATCTACATCACAAATACACCACTAATAAGGGTTTATCAGGTGATACTAGCAAAGCACATCAGCCTCCTTAAGCAAAACAAGGCAGGTCAGTAAGCACAGTTTTGAATCTCCCTTTTGCAGCAAAGCTCCGCTCACTGGTGAATGCTCAATGCATTACTTATCTGTGCAAAGCTTTGAAAACAGCTGTGCTTCACTAATAACTTGCGTATCCCCAGGTTGCATAAAACTTTAAAGTGTGTCATTAAATTGCAGCAAAAGCTGTCTTAAGTCCAAAGATAAAACTTCACCTTAAGAACATCTGAATCTTCATAAAGATCTGGAATATCCTGGAGTAAATTTCTCCATATTTTAACATCATTTAGAATAACACTCATTCCTCCACCAGTTAGAGGGTGTCTTATATTATATGCATCTCCTAAAAGGAGAACACCTAGGAAGAAGAGAAAAATTAATGGAATATTGCACTACATAATCTCAGAACGCAAACTCTTTATATTTTTTTAAATAAAAACTTACTAAGAATTCATTCTCACCAGAAAATAAGATGAATAACAAGTAGAAAATAAAAAAAAGAAAAAAGAGGGGGGAAAAAGGATATCTTTATATTAACAGGCTTAAAAAGGCTTAAAGGTGATCAAGGTGAAAATGCTTTTTCCCTATAGGTATGCATGGGTGTGCATCAAAGAACACAAACACACACACACTTCTCAAGGTAATTTCATTCCTTTTTAATAAGGTTTTTCTTAAAAAGGCCACACTTGTATGAGCTTGAGCAACTGAGTGACTTAAATTTAAAAATCAAGCAGGATGCTGGTCTGAAGTCTGGTGTCAGTATAAAGATTCCACTTAAATTCTTAAATTGTACCCAAGGTACACATTTTCAAAGTATTTTTCACAGAAGAATTATGAGACAGTTGTATTGAGCAACAAACACAGATGTATGTCTTAAGTCCCAGAAGAAGTTTATAATTCCTTTTCCCCTTAGTTTATTTCATAATACACACCTTTTTTGTTAACAGCTGAAGGAGGCAAGAAGCTGGCTGGCATAGTCCTTAAACGATCATTCTGAACTGCTGTTACGAACGGTTCCTTTAAATGATCTGCAATAACCAAATATTTTAGTTACACTACTTAGAGTCTAAAATAATTTGCATGTAACCCATTTTAACCTTTTCTTAGGGATATAATCCTTCTGAATTGCTAACCACACAGATGTGAGCTCAACGAAGTGCTATTTGGCGTGGAATCGAAGAAGGGTGAATGGTTACTGAAACACTAATTGCACACATGGAAAAAGCCCACACAGTTCAACAGATTCAATGAAATGTGTCTCTTTTGGCGTGTTTCACTGTGACAACTATGGACAAAATCTTTCCAGACTTACCAGGTAGTTGTGGATGAATATTCTCAATCATGTATTCTTTTAAATTTTTTGGCATTTCTCCTCGAATATCAACAAGGACCCGAGTCTCAGTTGAAGAAATCTGATAGATTAGCACTGGACTAGTTTTAGCTAAAACAAGTTCAGCATAATTAGCTTTAAACTGTGGTGCATTCTTAAAAAGAAAAGAAGAGGGAGAAGGATTGAGACTGATTAATGAAAGGATATTAAAACTTCAGATATACAGAACCAATTTCTGAAATACTTTGAAATAAAATCTCTTATCACATTGTTTGCGTTATTTTTCTCTCTAAATGAACAAGACAAGAGTTTTCAAAAAGAAAATTCTGAACTCCAGTGCAGTTAGAATTCTTTTGGCAATACGATTTAGTATTTACTAGAATATACATTAAGTTGTACCTTTCATTTGAATACCTCATTGGTATTTAATACATGCCATTGAAAACCTGTAATCAGTCTAGCAGTTATCAGTAAAATCTCTTTGTTTTCTTTTCATAAGGAAAGTAGTGCAAAGGAAAGAAATACACTGGTCTGTATACAACTAAAACAATCCCAGAAATACAAATTCTAACAAAAGTGTTTTTTACATCTGCCTCATGGTTAGTCAAAAATTTTTTAAGAGTTGTCAATCTGATGTTTAACTGTATCAAATATGCCAAATCTGACATAACAAGTCAAGCTATCCTAGAGCTGGGATGCAGTATGCATCGATATTTTAAGAGTTAAAAACATAGACCAAAATTTCCAAGCACTCCTCAAAGGGATATAGAAAATGACAACATCTGGATTAAGTATTTAAAAGCACAGCTCTAAATGATTCCATTGGAAAACATTTAATATTAGAATTCAAGACAGTCCTTAGAACAAAATGTTAATAGTTGCTTTTAAAATGCAAAGAAGCGGTTGAGTCTTCCATACAAACATTCTCTATATAAACTTCTGTCCCTCTATTAACAATTATATTTGACGTCTTTCTTCCATAAATATCCTTGCATAGACTTCTGCACATTTCTCTTCCACTCTACAAAGCTCTGCTGTAAAAGCCCCTTCTGTATAAGTTCATATGAACAAGTTCTATTCCTATACAATTGGATGAAAACCAAAACAAAGCCCCACCAAACATTAAAGAGAGAAAAAGTACATATTGAGAAGACAGCACATGCAAGTTTCCCAAGGACTGATAAGCCCTGGAACCCAGCAATCCTGTGGAATCTAGAAGAGCCAATAAACTTGGGACACCAAGAGTCTGCTGAATCGGTACAAGGCCACCAGCCCACATTAGCATCAACAACAGCTTGTGCGACACCAGCGAGAGGGTGGTGGCTGCTGTGTGAGACAGAGAACACACCAGGATGCGTGCAGGATTACAGACACCCAAGGGACTCTCCAAACACCAACTAGGAGTCCCTGGAATATCACTACACAGGCAGGACTGCCCCAACCATGCAGCTGAGAAGTGGGAAGCAGCTGGAGAGTGAAGCATGGGAGTGACTAACTCAACACGTACGTGAATACTGACCTGCTATTAATAATTGCGGAGTGAGTCTGGTGATAATGGCTCAATGAATAAAAGGTGCTCTAAAAAATGTTGTTACCTGTTGTCCCCACCCCAGCACAGACACTCGATCTCCTTTTAAGGTATAAGCAATTCATAAGCCTGACACGCTAAATACAGTAGGTTTTGGTATCACCTCGCAGTGACCTTTCCAAGAATATTTAAATGCTGCAAGGCCTCTCTAAGCCACCAGACCCTGGGAAGTACTTTTCTTCTTATTTCTCACTGTAGACCATAAACAGCCATCATACCAAAGCAAACACACAAAGCTAATGAACTACAACACAAACAGTGAAATTCAGACCTACGTTAAGAAGCAGTAGCATATTGTCTTATATGGTATTATACATAAATATTATTATACATAGAAGTTACCTTCAAAATGCAACCAACAAAGTGAGACGAAACGGTAACCTTGTTGGAGACCAAGCTTTTTCTAAACTTGGAGAAAAGTCCATCAGCTACAACAGTAAGTGGTGCATGAAGTTCCTGCAGCATGGAAGACAGAAGAAAAAGGAAAAGAGATACGACATTTTCAGTTTCATTTCAGAACAGTAGGAAGCAACTCCCAAGCCCCCATTTTCAATTGCAGTTTAGATGTTCCACAAAACATTAAGCATAAGAAGATCACAGACCAAATTTATAACATACATATTAAGAAATTAAGTATTTTCTGCCTTTCTCATCTTGAGATTTCCTCTAAGAATTAGCCTAACAATATGCTCCAGCTTTTTCAGACATGCATTCAGGTAACATAGTTATGGTGACTGTGTAGAAACTTGAATAAAACAAAGACAAGAAAGTAGAGTAATAGCCCCTTCAGCCTATAATGCGTTTCAGAAGGGAAAAAAAAATAAAAAAGAAAACAAAGATATTTTAAATGAAAGAACCATGCATAAGCAACTAAACAGAAACAAACCAAATTCCAACAAACTGAAATGCAGAAAGTGTAACAAGATCTTCTTTAAAAGACCAAGCAGTGGACTCTGAGTAGTTCCTGGTATACTTAGGAGCTCTAAGTACATACAGTGTATATAGACAAAACACAAAATAAAATCTGAGTAAACTGGCTAGGTTCAGCCTGACTGCATGCATGAATTCCTAATGTTTAACACATATACTGTACTCTAACATAAGCAAATTATTCCAATCATTAAAATATATTTTTAAGCATTTTATTGTTATGGTAACATATAACAATATTGCACTAGAAAGCATTTAGAGGTAGATGTTTCCTTCTACCTACAGCTTTCTAATTGTCAGTATATTCAGTGATTTAACTCAAGATGACACTTTTATCTTAACTTAAGATGACACTAAGTTGGGAGGGAGTGTTG